TTATAGTCGGCCTTATTCATAATGACCACAGCACCCCCTTTGTCAGCTGGTTTGATTACAATGTCCAGGTTGTTTTTGAGACTCTGGATGGCATGGTGTTCAGCGCGGCTAAGATTGTGTGTCGCTTGTTGTCGTTTGCGAATAATGTCAGTCTGTGCGTTGTTGCGGAAGCTGTGTATATAGAAATCCAGATTGTAATTCCGACCGTCAGGGGGAGTCCATATAGAATTATTTTTCCTTTGGTGTTGGTAGGGGGGATCTGGTAGGTCAGATTGATGTTCAGTGGTGGTTTGGAAATATTCTCGGAGACGGAGGCGGCGAAAAAAAGCCTCAAGGTCACCACAAAATTGTATCCAGTTTGTGGGGGACGTGGGGCAGAAAGAGAGACCCCGGGACAAGACAGACTCTTCTGCTGGATTGAGTTTGTAGCTGGAGAGGTTAACAATATTATCCGGTGGGTTGAGGCAGTTGCTGTTGTAGCCAGTGGTATGGAGCAGGTTAGAAAATTTATTGTCTTTTCTTTGTTGTAGGGAATAGAAGTGTGTATAGTAGATTTCTTGTCTGGTGGAACAAAAGTCTTGCAAGGTGTCAGTCGGTGTGGATGTTTGTCTTGAGATGAGACGATCTAAGTTAGAAATGTCATTCTTGATGGTTTTCTGTTTCTTGTATAAAATACTTATCAGGTGGTTTCTTAATTTCTTGGATAGTGTGAGGCAGAGTCTTTCACTGTAGTCAGTGAAGTATGTTGATCTTAGTGGATTGTTCACTTTCAGTCCTTTGGGTACGATGTCCATTTTCTTGCACTTGGATAGAAAGATGATGTCTGTCTGTATCTGTGCGAGTTTCTTCATATGGTTGATGGATTTCCATTCCAAACGGCTAAATGTAGTGCCTTGCATGTAGAATAGTGATAGAAATGTAGCCGTGTTAGTCTGGGGTAGTTGAAGCAAAATGCAGGACAATGTAGCACTTTAAAGACTAACAAGATGGTTTATTAGATGATGAGCTTTCGTGGGCCAGACCCACTTCCTCAGATCAAATAGTGGAAGAAAGTAGTCACAACCATATATACCAAAGGATACAATTTAAAAAAATGAACAAATATGAAAAGGACAAATCACATTGCAGAACAGAAGGAGGAGGCGGGGGGGTGGGAAGGGGGAGGAAGGAAGGTAAGTGTCTGTGAATTGCTGATATTAAAGGTAGGGAGAGTGGGATGTTTGTGAGTTAATGGTATTACAGGTGATAATTGGGGAAACTGTCTTGATAATGGGTGAGAAAGTTCAAAGACTTGTTAAGTCCCTGGTGGTAAGTGTCGAATTTTAACATGAATGACAGTTCAGAGGATTCCCTTTCAAGTGCAGATGTAAAAGGTCTTTGTAGCAGAATGCAGGTGGCTAAGTCATTTAGAGAGTGTCCTTTCTGGTTAAAGTGGCAAGAAACTGTTTTCTCTTTGTGATCTTGTCTGATATCTGTTTTGTGGGCATTAATCCTTTGGCGAAGTGTCTGAGATGTTTGTCCAATGTACATAGCAGACGGACACTTTCGGCACATGATAGCGTAGATTATATTTCTGGATGCGCAGGAATATGTGTTCTTGATCTTATAACTCACCCTGCATCCCCCTCCTGTTCTGCAATGTGATTTGTCCTTTTCATATTTGTTCATTTTTTAAAATTGTTTCCTTTGGTATATATGGTTGTGACTATTTTCTTCCACTATTTGATCTGAGGAAGTGGGTCTGGCCCACGAAAGCTCATCATCTAATAAACCATCTTGTTAGTCTTTAAAGTGCTACATAGTCCTGCATTTTGCTTTAGCTACACCAGACTAACACGGCTACATTTCTATTACTATAGGATATCTTGATAGAATCAGCAGTGTGAGGGGTGGGGGGGTTGAATTAGTGCTCAAGGGGAGTTGGCTTTTAAGCCAGCTCACTCGGAGCACAAGCTTCTACCTGCCCATCCCCCTCCTCCTTGCTGCTTCTGAGAGAGAGAGCATAGGGTGGGGGCAAGTGGCTCCATGGGAGCCAGTACATGCAGGGAGTTAGCTTGAAAACCGGCTTCCCACATCTACTGGCTCCTGACTACCCTCCTGCCCCGCCCCATGCAGCTGCCTCTCTATCAGAGGCAGCCCCATGAGGGTGAGGGAGAAGGCAGCTCTATGGGATCCAGTGCTCGTGGGGAGCTGGCTTAAAAGCTGGCTCGTCAGAGGCACCAGCTCCTGCCTCCTTCACCCCACCTGCCACCTTTGATAAAGAGGCAGCAGGACAGGAGTGCGTGTAGTTGACTAAATTAACCAAGAAGACTACACGTTGACATCCCTAATGCGAAGAGGTGTACTGCAGGTGTGACCACCATGGCCCAAGTGTCTAGCAGCAGGGTGGCGGCAGCTGCTTCAGGCAAGACTTGGCCTATTAAATCATTATTTTGATACTGTGGCTTGAAAACTCACTCAGGACTCATGCTATTAGTGGTCACATGGAGGCTATCCAAATACACAGCAGGGGAAACAGAATCCTATCAACCTGAAATATCCTCTCATGGTCAAACAGGCAGGCATAGTAGAGGGAGGTGAAACACAGAGGCTGCACTGACATCCAAGGTGGAACATGTGCACACACAACCCAGGTAGCAAACCCAGAGAATTGCAAGTATTTGCCATTTTATGAGTGTTCAACTCCTCATTCTGGAAGGCTGATAGATATTTTAGGATCAGAAGGAAATAAAACATTTTGTGTAAGGTGAGCTAATTTCGGAGCCTGGAGATGTAAGATTTCCACTTTAAAGAATTCCAGTACAGTAGTCAGACCAGTAAGAGCTCACCAGTAGTAAGAAAGGATCATAACAAGAAAGCTATACTACTCTAAGGCATGTCTACACTTCGAGCTGGAGGTGTGATTCTCAGCTCAAGGACACACATTTACATTAACTCTCTTAAATCTTCCATGCTAAAACCAGAATGTAGCTGTGGCAGCGCACGCTCTGAGTACGTGGGTAGGGTGTTGGACAGGTATGTACTCTGGACAATTAACCTGTCCTGCAGCTCACATTGCTGCAGTCATACTCTATTTTTAGCATGCTAGCTCGATGAGAGGTAGGATGATTATGAAGCTAGAAGTCGCACCCACAGCTCCAAGTGTGGACATACCCACAAGTCTCTCCTTT